GATTGTGTTAACTCACTTAGTATAACAGTTTCTAGTTCCATCCATTTACCTGCAAATTTCATGATTTCATCTTTCTTTACTGCTGAGTAAAACTCCATCGTATATATGAACCACATTTTCATTATCCACTCATCAATTGAGGGACACCTAGGTTGGGCCAAAAGCCAGCATTTCTTTTAAACTAAAAAAAAATATTTTCTAGATTGGCGCAATCATGCCCACATTTTATTTAGTTTGTTTCTGCCTGAAAGAAGCTTTCTTTTAATCCCTTAATTCCAGAAGCACAGTAGCATTAGGCACTTCTTATACCACTAGAATTACTGTTTTGCTGTGTTCTTTTGTAGGTTAGAAATTTGTTTGTATCCTAGTTTGTGTGGCATGTACTCTTGCCTGTGTATGTACCTATGTATGTCTAGATAACATTAGGAAAGGGCCCCAAAGGCTGTAAACACAGGGAAGTGTCTGACACTGACATTCGTTTCTTTCCTTCATCTAGGCTTCATCAGTTGTGTAGTTCCATTTTGTAACCTATCACTCCTCTGCTCTTTGCTTCTTTCATTATGATGTAGTGATGAGCAGTTTTCTCTCTTATCTCTTAGAAAGAATCACTGCAGGTTCCTGAGCTGGATCAAATATGATGGGGATCATTCCTAAATTTTAATTCATCAACTTAATTATGTGAATAGTGGTCAGTTATTCCAGGAGTTACAAAAAATTGGCACTAATCTCTCTTTAGGAGACTGCTGAATATTGAATAAGCCCAAGAAGTGATGAGGGCAGTGATTAATTTATAGAGTTGCTATTTACTAGAAATTGAATATCATTAGAGAATTCTTGATAATGTTCTTAGGGTAATAATGGTACTAAGTTTACATGGGGAAGTATGCTTGATTTAAGGAAATGCTTACTGTTAAAATTTTAAGACTTTTGCAGTTTTAAGTACGGGTATATAGTCATTTAGATGTGTGCCTGTGTATATGCAAACAACAAAATACAATAACAAAGATAATAGCTATTGAATCAAAGTTACAAAAATATGAGTAACTATGGTATTATTATTATAATGTTTCTGTATGTTTGAAAATTTTGTAATAAAATGGTGGATTAAAACAGGAAACTAGGGACAAGAGAGATGGCCCAGCAGTTAAGAGCATTGGCTGTTTTTGCAAAAGTCCTTGGTTCAAATCCCAGCACCCACATGGTGACTAACACCACCAGTAACTCTAGTTCCAAGGGATCTGATGCACTCTTTGGTCCTCTGTAGGCACTACATAACACAGGTGCACTTACAGACATACAGCCATAACACTCATACTCATAAAATAATTTTAAAAAATAACTAGAAAAATGCAATCTATAAAGTTGTACAAACGGTAGAGCCTGATTATAAGTGATTTTTATTTGCAAGTTATATATAATAATTGAAACCTTTCCTTTTAAAAGATCTATTTTTTTTTTTTTTTTCTATCATTTCATGTATCACTTGTCCTTTGAGTGTGGTTTTAGCAGTTTCTTAGTTCCGATGTGGTCTTTTTTTTTTTTTTTTTTTTTTTTTTTTGTGTATGGCCTTCTCTGCAAAGGCCAGAAGAGGGAATCAGATCCCCTGGAACTAGCATTACAGATGGTTGTTAACTGCCATGTGGGTACTAGGAACGGGGCCCATGTCCTCTGGAAGAGCGTGAAGTATTCTTGACCACTGAGTCATCTCTCGAGCCCCTGTTAATGAAAATCTTTCTATGTATTAAAAATTCTTTTAAATAAAAATATATTAATGCTTATAATACGTTTTAAAGTTAGTTATAACACAATGTTCATTACATGTAACTCTCCAGAAATATTTCTACAAAACTTGGGGAATTTTGTTGTTTCTATGGAAGAAACTGAATGATGTTGGTTAATGTCAAAGACTACAATGGAAATCACTTAAAGCACCACAAGGATATATTTTTTTGACAGGGTCTCCATGTAGCCCCCATTTTTCTGGAACTTACTATGTAGACCAGGCTGGCCTCCATCTCACAGAGATCTACCCCCAAGTGCTAGGTTTAAAAAAAGTAGGCCACCACCACCAGAAAGGAAACAATTTTTAAAACGTGTTTAAATCAACCACATTCCTGTATTTTAAGAGAGAAATTGCTACCTCCATGCTTGTGGAAGACTGTGATGCACCTTGCCACACTAACAGGAAGCAGAGTGGGGTTATGTGGAGAGAATGACATCCTGTATTGAAAAAGGGAAAGTTGACTTACTAAGTTTTCTCATTTGTAGAATGATATCTAATACTTCCTGACAAGTAAGTGAACACTCAAACAGTGAACAATCAGTGAAACACTGGGCATTGTCGCTTTATCTATCTGGAAAGGACATGGGAATGTTAATAGTGAGTGAATGAGCTATCATGGTTCTAAAATTACTAGCTCTGGAAGGAGACAGATTTGGTCAACCTGTGTTTTTGAAGACTTGACCTTATCAAATACTATCTTCAAAATGAATGATTCCTTTAGAGACACAAGAAAAGTCTTCAGACAAAATAAATTTTGTGAGTTTATGGAGCCATGAGAGAGTTCAGAAGTTAGGCAGCACTCACACCCAAAGATCAGAGAGCTCTGCTTAAGCTGTAGGAGCAGAAAGCATTTACAGACTGAAGACAGAGGTGAAGAAATTACTGACTGACTATAGCTAAGCCTTTGCCTTATTTGGATTACGAACTGCCAGGAGGTCCCTGAGTTTTATAACCAACTGGCTGTGATCGTATGAGGCTCTATAAAAGAAAATAAAGTCAATTCCAAGCATAATATCCAAGTTCGATTCCAATTAGCTTATGCAACGGTATCCCATAGAGATAACCTTATGCTTATGGCTTCATGATTTAAGAAGATTACGTCTTATTTTTTAGATTTTATTTATGTGTATGTTTGTGTGTCTATGGTTAGTAAATGCCACATGTGTGCAGGTACACACAGAGGCCATAAGATGACATCCTATCCCTTGGAGCCAATGTTACAGCAGTTGTGAGCCACCCTATGTCAGTACTGGGAACTGAATTTGGGTTCTCTGAAAGAGCGACAAGTACTCTTAATTGCTGAGCCATTTTTCCAGCCCAACCCCTCAATCTTTATAAATATTTTGTTCACCAATTATTCTGCTTATAACTTACTCCAGTACATATGTGAACCTGTTTATTTATTTACTTATTTGCTTATTTATTTATTGAGAACCAGTCACAACATGTGGCCTAAGTTGGTTTCAAATATCTGAGATCAAGTGATCCTTCCACCTGGGCCTCTCTCCTGGTCTGTCCTTTTAGCCTTTCTGAATTAAAGGCACCATTGTTTTATAGCACTTCCTTTATTAAACATTGCCTTTTTTTTCTTTTGTATATTTTAGCATGTTAATGAAAAGAATACTGGATCATCTTCCAAACCAGGAGAAAAGAAAGGATCTGATGAGGTAAATCCCACAGTACTGGTTATCATTTTCTTTGGTTTGCTTTTAAAATTGGGAGTTCTGTCTTGAATATTAAATAACGATGTATTAAGCTATACTTACTGGAATGTTGGGAAATTTAGGGGTTTCTGTGTATGTTTGTGTATGCTATGTCAATGTCTGTTCAGCCCGTGTGTTAATGTGGGTGCACCCATGTGCTATGGTGCACATGTGGAGGTCAGAGGACAGCATCAAGCACAGCCCTCACTTTCCAACTTGCATAAGACAGGTACCTGCTATTTTCAACTGTGTACAGATGAGTTGACCTCCAGGCTTCCAGCTATTCTCCCGTCTCTTCCTTTCACCTCCCTGTGGGAGTGCTGGGATTAAAGACACTCACACTACCCATCTGACTTTTACATCTGACTTTTACACGGGTTCTGGGGATTTGAATTCAGGTCTTCATGCTTCAACAGCAAGTGCTTTCTCCCTCTGCGACATCTTCCCAGTAATTTAGTTTTAACTAAGATTTGATTCAAGAATCTAAGTGGAAGTAATGAAAATAAAATTTCAGAAAGGAACATTTATAGATAGCTCCGATTTAGAAACAGAGCTCAGTTTTTTTAAGTGTTTTCCTGTACGAATTGGGGATTTTTATTTGTTTCGTTAGTGAGCATGGCAGATATAAAAGGAAGCCAAATGCTGTGGCGGAAATATTTTTCATGAGAGTGCACCATGAAAGGAGAGCAGTGATGACCTAGATTAACAAGTCATTCAGGTGCAGCAACCAAGGGAAGCGAGAACTACTTTTATTGCCATTGATTCAGTGGAAACATAGTAAGACCAAATCTCCTCACTTTGAGATAGATTGTCTTTGTGCTTGTGAATTTCTGCACGTCAGTGCTGACCTAATTCACTATGGAAGTGTCTATGAAAGTTTTGTCCTTCAAAGGGCACTGCCTTTGACTCTCTGTCCTTTCACTGGTTTTCAGTGGATTCTATTCACTAATCCATGAGAGTGTTTCTTTTAGAGAAGAATTTTGCAATCATGAAAGTGAGTTGATAGTTTCTGCAAAGAACAGTGAGAGAAGAGCTCTGCTGTGTGTTCTGCCACCTTGGCAGATATTCTCAGTGGATCTGTTCACCTCCATTCAATAGAAATTCTTATTTCCACTTCGACAGGCCATATGGCCCTGAAAGACATGGGGAGTTATAAAGCATAAAGTGGTGTCTTATTTCTTCTTTTCATTATCAATCTTGAGGAGGTGTTTTTGGAAATTCTGTTCCTTTTCCTGTTATTTTCTGCAGTTCTGAAACATTCAGTATGTGAGGATGCTGTTAAAGTGGACTCGCTGCATACCGCGTACTGCGTACTGACTTGTCAACTTTCTACAATAGCCATGATGATGTAATTTACAGTATCTTTTACATTTTTATTTTATGTACACACACACACACACATGCACACGTGCATGCACACACATGCTATGTGTGTGTGTATGGAGGTGAGAGAAGAACTTACAGGAATCTGTTCTCTCCTCCCACCATCTGGGCCACAAGGCCTGAACTCAGGGCATGGCTGCCACAGCCTTTACCCACCTATCCACCTTAATGGGCCTCATTTAAGGTATTTCTGACCATAGAAATTTGTACTAAAATCTTTGTTCCTATGGAATACAAATTTTTTAGGAATAAGAAGTAGACAGATTTTATCTTATTTCCTTTAAAAATTGTTAAAGAATACATCTGCATATCAAAAAAAATTTCTATTTCTAATATCACAAAGCTATTGGCTGTCCTTTAGTCCCTTTATCAATACCACTCTTTAAATATATTCCAGATTAGTTATCTATCTAAATTTATTTATGCAACTAGAAAGAATGCTCTACTGGAAATCATAGTATCCTTTTATTCTCCAAGAGGAGGAAATATGGTTTGGATGTTATTCTCAATTGACATTAAGATTAGACTACTTATACAAAAAGGGAACCTTTTGTCACCCTGTCAGGTAGATACTAAATCACTTCTCATAGTGTCTTTCTAGTTAATTACATTATAATTCTGTAACTTAAATACTATGTCAGGGACAGAGAAATGGCTCAGCAGTTAAGAGCACTGGCTACTCTTACAGTGGACCTGGGTTCTATCCCAGCATCCACATGGCAGCTAACAACCATCCATAGCTCCAGTTCCAGGGCATCTAATGTCCTCTTCTGGCCTCCACAGGTACCACATGACATGGGTTCACTTACATACATGCAGGCATAGCACTCATACACATAAAATAAAATAAAAATTTATGTCTTTAATGTGCATGCATTGTTTATTTGGACACAACTGCTAGCACTGAGTCTTATCATGATATCTGGATTACAAAGCCTGTCATCTCATGCTTATAAAAGGCTTGGGAAGACTTCCAAGAAGTCCTATTGTGAGTGCCATCAGGAGAGGCTTCAAGGTTTGTGTCTGCTGAAGCAGACTAAACATTAAATTTGGAATTGAAAAATCAATGTATACTTCAAAAGGAGGAGGAGTTGTTCTCGCTATTAGCAATTGAAACAATTCTGACAAAATATCACTTCTGGGAAACTCACATTTATAATCCTGCCCCTATCATATTTAGACCTCCCTCTTTCCTCACTCCCTACCCATAACCTGCCCACCAGATTTCATGCATTCTGTCATATATGTTAAGGCCTATCAAATCAAGTTTGTGTACCTATATGTTCCTCAGTGTGAATTCTGGAATTTAGTCAGCCTATCTAGTGTCATTCCCTTAAAGAAGACCAATTCTCCCTCACCCAGCAGTGATCACCTGACAAGAGTTCCTCGGCTAAAGTTTTGGCATCCTGAACATTTCCCTAATTCTATACTAGGTTCTTTTTGCTTTTGTTTTTTTTAGGTTTTTTTTTTTTGGTTTGATTGAGTCTGTATGGGTCTTGTACGTGCTGTCACTATTGCTGTAAGTTCATATGAGCAAGTTCCCAGAAGCCTGTTTCCTTGTGCTCACGTACCACCTCTGGCTCTTACAATCTTTCCACCCCCTTTTCTGCAATGATCCCTGAGCCCTGGGTGGGTGAGGTTTGATATAGGAGTTCTATCCAGGGATACACAGTCTTCAGTCTTTGTTTTTCTACACTTTAGTCAGTTGTGGCCTTCTGTGTTCATTACCCTCTGTTGCACAAGGAAGCTTCTATGGTGAGAGTTGAGAGACACATTGGTTTTCTCTCTACCCCATTTCACTGTGTTCTGTGACCCATCACTGAGTCTCAATACTCAGTGATTTTCCATTGTATATATGTTACTTTGGGCTGGGAATCTCACAAAATGTCTCTAATTTTTATGCTACATTCAGATAAGCCATTAGTGAGATAGTGGCCCTGGAGATAGTTCAAGAGACTGTCCTATATCAGACATATTTTATTCTTTATGTTCAAAATTTTATAGACTAAAATAATACATAATATAGAACATTTTTTATGTGCCCTACATCCTATCCATGATCAGTTACTGTGTCTTTTCAAAATTACTAGAGAACTTCCTGGAACTGAAAGAAAATCTTTTTTCCAATTTCTTTCTCTCTCTCTCTCTCTCTCTCTCTTTCGATCTATTTTCAATTAGTATTGTGTTCTCTCTCTCTCTCTCTCTCTCTCTCTCTCTCTCTCTCTCTCTCTCTCTCTCTCCATTTCCTCTACCGCTGTGCTGAAAAAGAAGTGAGATTAATAAACTTGAGCTGAGTGCACTGCCACAGGACTGCTACTTGGGAGACTGAAGCCAGAGGATCCTGAGTTCAAGGCCAATCTGTGCAATAAAGTAAGACCCTGTTTCAAAGCAAGCAAATGAACAAGAAGCAGAAGAGCCAAAAACCTTAGTTTGAGTTTTGGTAATCCATTTTCAAACTAGAATACATCACAGTTATCCCAAAGAAGAAATAACACACTAAAAGGCCTTTGAAGCAAAATCAGTTTGAAACTTCGTTTTCCATGTGTAGGGGTCCACCTCAGTAGTTTGTTTCCCTTCCATTTCCTTTAGACATATGAGAATAAGGCCCAAAGGAGGAATTAGGGTGGGGGGATATAACTAGAACAAAAGATGTTTAAGGATAAGTAACAATTACCAATGTGTTGCATGAATTTCAGAACTCTTTCTCCATAAGTATTGTCAATCATTCCTTCTTTTTAGGAATGCGATTACCATAGAGCCACTAAGTGACCTGCAGACACCTGCAGAAATTTCAATAGAATGATGCAACCAAAGTACCATTTATCCTGTTACAGTTTAAACACAAAGCTTGAAGATGAAATTGGGTAATAGCCTGTGAAAATTTGCTAATACCAAGTGTTATGAATTCATCAATTCTTTCTCAAATGTAGGGGAATTAAAAGACCAAAAGGAAGCCTAAAATAATGCAATTAGAGTCCAGATAAAAGAAAAACAGAAAGGTTTAACACAGCACCTTTAAATACAGTGAAACAAAGAAGTCATTCAAAACTTGCAATCAAATCTATTTAAAGTATTTGACTGTCACATCTGACCACACTGGGAGAGTGTGGTGATCCTTTAAGAGACTTATTTTAGCGAGGTCCTAGAGAATAAAATTTAAAGCATAAAAGGCCATGATCTTTCAGAGTCCATTTTAAAATCTTCAAATTTAGTATTGGCTATGTTTTATATCCATAGAAAGGGAGCTTCAACTGGCATAAACGAGAAACTGCTTTAAGGGGAAAAGGTATTCAATACATTTAGCTTGCCCTGATAACATAGCCAGCATTCCTTTTCTCATTGTTTCCTTTTTTCCTTCTAAAATGTATAAATCAAGTATTGAGTGATGCAAGATTCTAATTTGTGTCTGATTTTTTCTTTTATTAGAGCCAGTCTTTTAATTTTATTGCAAAATTAATATGTACCTGGGAAAAAGAATGTTACCAGGAGTCTCAATATTCAGTAATGATCACTGCTACAAAATTTTGTGTATATTCTGAAATTATTATGATAATATCATGCAGTCATAGTTGTTAAATACA